AAAAACATAAAACACAACTTTATAATTAAATGTCCATGTTTACAGAATCACCAAGTCGTGTTCTGGATAAAAATGAAAAGTACCAATGAGTAAAACAAGCATTGAGAGAAGATAAATTGGTTAAGGCTATACAATTGAAAAGTTTTTTAAATTTTTGAACTGTTTATTTTATTTAAGACTCTTTTGATTAATAACCTTGATTGTTTAAATGTTTGTTTTATGTTATCGATTACTTTTTTAATTGTTGAAATAAATAAAAACTTATTATTAATTAAAGTGTTGTATTATTTGATGCAATAATGTCCTTCATTACATCATTAGTTTATCGTTATATTACATTTATCTTATGTTTATTTGAAAGATAGAATTATACTCATGTTTAGTCACAAAATAAACCACTGACCAAATAACGAACCTGGAAAATCGGGGAAGATTTACCCAATATTTGTGTGATTTCCCGATTTTTTGTTCAATAATTGAAATTGTATTGAATTTTAAGGGTTTTAAACTGTGTACCGTTGTTGGTTCAACAAATAGGAAAATAAAAAATAAAACAAATAAAAAATAGTAAATAACGGGAAATTAGGACAAAGGGTTTATATAAATTTTGGAAACGGTACAGAGTTTTGGAAAACAGTTTACAATTCTATCCTTTTAAAAGCCATAAAAAACAAAAGGCCATCAGTTTGTAACCAGTCACTCAGAGCTTTCATTTCTGTCATTAACACATTGACAAAATATACAACACCTACAAATACTGGATTTGTAAAAAAAACCACATCAAGTTCAGTGTCGTTTGGTATGTTTTTGGAGATGTTTTGTTCAACACCAGACAACAATATAAAATTTACAAATTCTTCATAATATTCAAACACCCAATTTGATACCAAAACAGTGTAAAGAAATCTTGTTTCACTAAGACGGCTTACTTTGTTCATTACACCTTTCAAGTCGTAATGAGTAATATACTGAATTAACAAATTTCGATTTTGTTCTTTGGGTATTTCACTCAAATATTTGTCAACAATGTACCCATAACCACTTTCAAATACAGTTATGCTTGATATGTTTAATCTATGGTCACAACAATAATTATCCAAAAAACACTCGACCAAGCCTCCATCTCTTTCAACAATTTCAGTAAGTTTTCCTGCGACACCATTATCATTACTTTTCAATGTTATATCTCCATCACTACAAAATGAACACAATTTTGAAAAATTGGAATTGTAAACACTACACACAATTTTATCGATCCACTTTGTCCAGTTAATCGCGTTTTTCGAATCGTAATATCTGCAAATACTTAACCTTTTTTCTTCGAATGTACAATCTTTATAAACAAATCTTGCATAAAGAGAGAGATAATGATCACCACATGTTGAAGAATCTGTTGAAATTCCATATCCAACACATTTATCAAAATTGTTTGTAATTTCTTCTTTTTCTACAATTGGTATAAGTGAAGCTCTTCGGATGACAGTTTCATATGATATTGAAAGCCCCTTTCCACCCTTTTCAGCTAGAAGTTTAAGTGCAACCAATAACACAGACCTCATTCCATTTATTTGTGTTTCAGTCATTGAAGTTGCCTTTGACACAATTGCAAATAATATGGTTATATATTCGTTTTGTGAATTCAATTTGTGATCAGAAAAATTACCTTTTATTTTTCTTTGTGTTTC